GATCCCAGATCTCGGGATCATGCCCTGAACTGAAGGCAGATGCTCAACCACTGAGCCACCTAGGCATCCCTAAAACTCATCTTTTTAAAAAAGATTTTATTTATTTATTCATGAGACACACACACACAGAGAGAGAGAGAGAGAGGCAGAGACACAGGCAGAGGGAGAAGCAGGCTCCGTGCTGGGAGCCTGATGTGGGACTTAATCCCTGGTCCTCAGAATCACACCTGAGCTGAAGGCGCGCTAAACCCCTCAGTTACTGGGGCTGCCCCCTAAAACTCATTTTTTTTTTTTTTTAAGAAAGGTGTTCAGGGATCCCTGGGTGGCGCAGCGGTTTAGCGCCTGCCTTTGGCCCAGGGCGCGATCCTGGAGACCTGGGATCGAATCCCAAGTCGGGCTCCCTGCATGGAGCCTGCTTCTCCCTCTGCCTGTGTCTCTCTGCCCCTCTCTCTCTCTCTGTGACTATCATAAATAAATAAAAAATAAATAAATAAAATAAAAAAGTGTTCAGTTCTGTTAATTTTAACACATGTGTAGTCTTGTGTAACTACCTGCAATCAGGACACAGGACAGCTCTAACTCCCCTCAAAATTGCCCTATGCTACTCCTTTATAGTCAAAATTTCTCCCCACCCGAATGAAAATTGGGCAGCCACTCTGGAAAACGGTATGGAGTTTCCTCAAAAAGTTAAAAACAGAACTACCCAGGGATGCCTGGATGGCTCAGCAGTTGAGCATCTGCCTTTGGCTTAGGGCCTGATCCCAGATTTCCAGGATCGAGTCCCACATCGGGCTTCTTCATGGAGCCTGCTTCTCTTCCCTCTGCCTGTTTCTCTGCCCCCCTCTCTCTGTGTCTCTCATGAATAAATAAAATCTTAAAAAAAAATTAGAACTACCCTAAGACTGAGCAATTGCATTATTAGGTATTGATCCAAAGGATACAAAAATAGTGATTTTAAGTGGCACATGCACCCCAATATTTATAGCAGCAATGTCCACAATAGTCAAACCATGGAAAGAGCCCAGGTGTCTATCAATGGATGAATGGATAAAGAAGATGTAGTATATACGTATATATATGTATATATATTCTGTATATATTATGTATATATAATGGCTATTTATTACTCAGCCATCAAAAAGAATGAAATCTTCCCATTTGCAAAGATGTGGATGGAACTAGAGTGTATTATGCTAAACAAAATAAATCAGTCAGAGAAATACAAGTACCATGATTTCACTCATAAGTGGAATTTAAGAAACAAAAGTGATGAACATAGGTGAACGGAAGGAAAAAATAAAATAGGAAAAAAGACAGAGAGGGAGACAAACCATGAGAGACCCTTAACTAAGAGAACAAACTGAGGGTTGCTGGAGGGGAGGGGGGTGGGCGAGGGTAACTGAGTGATGGACATTAAGGAGGGCATGTGATGTGATGAGCACCGGGGATTATATGTGACTAATGAATCTCTGAACTCTGTCCCTGAAACTAATAATACACTATAAGTTAATTAATTGAATTTAAAGAAAATAAAATTTTTTAAAAATGAGAGCATTTCTTGTGACGAGCACTGGGTGTTACATGCAACTGATGAATCACTAAATTCTACCCCAAAATTAATAATACACTATGTGTTAACTATCTTGAATTTAAATAAAACCAAAGAAATAACTGTCAAAACAAATTCTCCCCACCTCTAACCTTTGACAACCACTAGTTCCTACTGCTTGGTCCCTATAATTTTGTCTTTTCCTAGATGTCATATAATAGGGTCATACAATCGTCCAGTGTATGGATGTACCCTTTCAAAAACATTTAGGTTGTTTCTAGGTTTGAGCAATTATGAATCATGTCGCTGTAAACATTGGTGCACAGGACTTTGTGTGAATATAATCTTTCAATTCTCTTGAGTAAATAAATACCTAGGAGCAGGACTGCTGGGTCATATAAGTGTACGTTTAACTTTATAGGAAATGGCAAAACTGTTTTCCAGAGTAGCTCTATGGTATTGTATTCCCACCAACAACGGATGATAGTTTGCTGCTTTGTGTCCTTAACAGCACTCATTATTGTCAATTTTTCTGTTTGTTTAGCCATTCTGATAGGAACATACTGGTATCTTATTGCAGTTTTTTTTTTTTTAAGATTTTGGGTTTTTGTTTTGTTTTGTTTTAAAAATTTTATTTATTTATTCATGAGAGACCCAGAGAGACCCAGAGAGAGAGAGGCAGAGACAGGGGATGCAAGCTCCATGCAGGGAGCCCAATATAGAACTTGATCCCAGGACTTTGGGATCACCCCCCAAGCTGAAGGCAGACACTCAACCACTGAGCCACCCAGGCGTCCCTAAAATTTTGTTCTTAAGTAATCTCTATACTCCACATGCGGTTCAAACTTACAGCTCTGAGATCAAGAGTCACACGCCCTACTGACTGAACCAGCCAGGCGCCCCTGTGTCCTGGACGTGTTCATTGCTATGATATGAGACTAAGCCCTATCAAAATCCACTGGAGAAGGGTTTTCTTTGTTTTGTTTTAGCAGCTAGTTGTTCTAGTTAGGTTCATGCCAAAAGTCTTGGCCTGCCTTCTGTGAGCCACGGTTTCCATGTAATTTCAGTTTTCAGACTCTTGCAGTAGTACTATTTGGATCTGGTCTATGTGTTATCCCAGAGATTCAAGGAGCCCGGGTGGTGGTCCACAGCATAGACTAGTATTCAAAACCTTTGGTCTTTCAGCGCACCTGGATGACTCAGTGGTTGAGCATCTGCCTTTGGTTCAAGGCATGATCCCAGGCTCCTGGGATTGAGTCCCATATTGGGCTCCCCATGGGGAGCCTACTTTTCCCTCTGCCTCTGCCTATGTCTCTGCCTCTCAGTGTCTCTCATGAATAAATAAATAAAATATTTTAAAAAAATTTTTGATCTTCTATTTCAGGTTAGTTTCACACATAAGTGCCCCAGGGTGATCCTAGAACTTTTAAACACAAATCTATAAAATTTCCTTCTTGAGCTCTCTCCTATCCAAAATCTCTACAACATTCTCTGGCTCCCAGGCTTCCTTTTTCTGATCCTCCTTCCAGGAATGCCTGGCTCTCAGTGTTCCTATGCTGCCAGACATCTCCCACCACTGGATCTACCTTCAAGGCAAGGCAGGAAGCTCAGCTGCTGATGGAGCCAACTGCCTACAGAGAGGTACAGCTCTGAAGACCTGCAAAACCAGTGGAGGAAAAGAAAAACCAGGAAAAACCTCCATCCTCTGCATTTTTCAGGGGTACCTCTTCTCATTCCTCTTATTAGAGAGAGAATTTTTTTTTATTGGCTGTGCCTGTTGCAATGTTCCAGAATTTAGGTTGCCTTGAGACTAAAACCAAGGGATGATAGAGGGAAAAAAATATGAGACTCATCATTTTGTTGGTCTTTAAGTATTGATTTCCTCCCATATTTGTCCACTATTATTTATTTTTCAGAGTCCTCAGTTGGTTGCTTTGCATACACTCTCCAGGGGTTTTGTTGTAGTTATTAGAAGAAATAGTGTAGAGTATGCTTATGCCATTTAACCAGAGCAGAGGTACGCCTGGGTGGCTCAGCAGTTGAACACCTGCCTTCAGCTCAGGGCGTGATCCCAAAGTCTGGGGATGGAGTCCCACGTCGGGCTCCCTGCGTGGAGCCTGTTTCTCCCTCTGCCTGTGTCTCTGCCTCTCTCTCTCTCTGTGTCTCTCATGAATAAATAAATAAAACCTTAAAGAAAAATAAGTAAAATCTTAAAACAACAGCGAAAACCAGACCTGGACCCTATACCTTTTGTAATAGTTCTAGAAATTTTGATATGTTGGTGTGACCTATTGAGATATACTTCCACAAGTTTTGTGTTCTGTAGGCTGTATTTTTTCTTTTCTTTTAACTTAATTCAATTAATTTATTTGAGAGAGAGAGAGCATGATAGAGAGCACAAGCAGTGGGAGGGGTTGAGGGAGAAGCAGGCTCCCCCTGAGCAAGGAGCATAATATAGGTCTGAATCTCAGGATGCTGGGATCAAGACCCAAGCTGAAGGCAAACACTTAATTGACTGAACCACCCAGGTGCCCTGTAGGCTGTATTTCTATAAACATATTTGAATCAGAATTTACCTAATTTGAATGTAAATGTCTTTTGTGCTAACAATTTCATTTTTACAAGTCTTATTAAAAACAGCTTAGTCTTTTCACAAATTATGGCAATGCTTTGAATCACATGAATAGACATCCTCTCTGCATTATAACACAGACTTGAACTTTGGGTGCACAGCAGCCAAGATACAAAAATTATTATCCTGTTTTTCAGCTTAAAATAGCTGAATTTAGGGACACCTGGGTGGCTCAGCGGTAGAGCGTCTGCCTTTGGCTCAGTTCACTATCTGGGGTCCAGTCCCACATGGAGCCTGCTTCTCCCTCTGCCTGTGTCTCTGCCTCTCTCACGGTGTCTCTCATGAATAAATAAATACAATCTTAAAAAAAAAAAGAATTTAAAGTAGCTGAATTTAACTCTGCATACATAAAGAGTTGTTTTGCTATGTAAATATGTTTAACCACATTATCTCACAATTGGGACCACTGAGAAATTCTTCAGTTGCTGTGAAAAGCACAATTGTTTTTGGGTAGAATAACAAAATAGCTACTGGGGCGCTTGGGTGGCTCAGCCGGTTAAGCACCTGGGTTAAGCACCTGACTTCAGCACTGGTATGATCCCAGGGTCCTGGGATTGAGCCCCATGTGGGCGTGGGGGGAGGGTCCCTCCTCAGGGGGAGCCTGCTTCTCCCTCTCCCTCTGCCACTCCCCATGTTTGTACTCTCTCTCACTGTCTGTCAAATAAAATCTTAAAAAAAAAAAGTTAAACAATGCTACTATTAAAGTTTAGGTGTTGATACACACATTTTTTCATCCTTTTCTTAATTACTATTAGTTATATTTCCTACATTCTGTGAATTTGTCGTAGAATTTGTTTTATTAAATACTTCCAGGAGCAAGGCAGCAAGATGGACGCGGGATTCTTCCGCGGAACAAGTGCAGAACAGGATAATCGGTTCAGCAACAAACAGAAGAAGCTACTGAAGCAGCTGAAATTTGCAGAATGCCTAGAAAAAAAGGTGGACATGAGCAAAGTAGATTTGGAGGTTATAAAGCCTTGGATAACAAAACGAGTAACGGAAATCCTTGGGTTTGAAGATGATGTGGTGATTGAGTTTATTATATTCAACCAGCTGGAAGCGAAGAATCCAGACTCCAAAATGATGCAAATCAACCTGACTGGGTTTTTGAATGGAAAAAATGCTAGAGAATTTATGGGAGAACTGTGGCCCCTGCTCTTAAGTGCACAAGGAAACATCGCTGGAATCCCTTCTGCTTTTCTAGAACTGAAGAAAGAAGAAATAAAACAAAGACAGATTGAACAAGAAAAGTTGGCATCTATGAAAAAGCAAGATGAAGACAAGGATAAGAGGGATAAGGAAGAAAAAGAAAGCAGCAGAGAAAAAAGGGAGAGGTCTCGAAGCCCAAGAGGACGCAGATCCAGATCTCCTTCCCCTAGAAGACGATCTTCCCCTGTCAGGAGAGGAAGAAAGCGCAGTCATTCTGGATCTCCCCGTCACAGAACCAAGACCCGGAGTCCTTCCCCTGCTCCAGAAAAGAAGGAAAAACCTCCAGAGCTCCCAGAACCATCAGTGAAAGTAAAAGAACCGGGATCCCTGGGTGGCGCAGCGGTTTGGCGCTTGCCTTTGGCCCGGGGCGCGATCCTGGAGACCCGGGATCGAATCCCACGTCGGGCTCCTGGTGCATGGAGCCTGCTTCTCCCTCTGCCTGTGTCTCTGCCTCTCTCTCTCTATCTCTCTGTGACTATCATAAATAAATAAAAAAAAAAAATTAAAAAAAAAAGAAAGAAAGTAAAAGAACCTTCAGTACAAGAGGCCACTTCTACTAGTGACATCGTGAAAGTTCCCAAACCCGAACCTGTACCAGAGCCTAAAGAACCTACTCCGGAGAAAAATTCCAAAAAGGAAAAGGAGAAGGAGAAGACCCGACCAAGATCTCGGTCCCGTTCGTTCCAAATCAAGATCCCGGACACGGTCTCGCTCTCCTTCTCATACTCGGCCTAGACGGCGTCATAGATCCCGATCAAGATCATACTCCCCTAGAAGGAGGCCAAGTCCGAGAAGGCGGCCATCTCCTCGCAGAAGAACCCCACCAAGACGAATGCCACCTCCACCCAGGCATAGAAGGAGCAGATCTCCAGTGAGACGAAGACGACGTTCATCAGCATCCTTGTCTGGAAGTAGCTCATCATCCTCTTCATCTCGTTCCCGGTCACCGCCAAAGAAGCCTCCTAAGAGGACATCCAGGCCCCCTCGAAAAACTCGGAGGTTGTCTCCTTCAGCAAGTCCTCCGAGGCGAGGGCATAGGCCATCACCTCCAGCAACTCCACCGCCAAAAACTCGTCATTCCCCAACACCCCAGCAGGCAAATCGTCCAAGAAGAAGTCGTGTTTCTGTCTCTCCAGGGAGAACTTCAGTGACAAAACATAAAGGTACTGAGAAAAGAGAGTCCCCTTCACCAGCACCTAAGCCTAGAAAAGTAGAGTTATCTGGATCGGAAGAAGATAAAGGTGGCAAAATGGCTGCAGCAGATTCTGTGCAGCAGAGACGTCAATACAGACGACAGAACCAGCAATCTTTATCTGATTCTGGCTCCTCTTCTCCCTCAGAAGATGAGCGACCCAAGAGGTCCCATGTGAAGAATGGCGAGGTAGGCAGGCGGCGGAGACATTCCCCTCCCCGGAGTGCCTCTCCATCACCTCGAAAGCGCCAGAAAGAGACTTCACCTCGGATACAAATGGGAAAGCGATGGCAATCGCCAGTGACTAAAAGTGGTAGACGGAGGAGGAGTCCTTCCCCACCACCCACCAGAAGGTGACGTTCCCCTTCTCCTGCCCCCCCCCTCGTAGGCTCAGGTCTCCCACGCCACCACCACGACGAAGAACTCCTTCTCCTCCCCCCCGCCGGCGCTCACCGTCCCCAAGAAGATACTCTCCTCCAATACAGAGGAGATACTCTCCTTCTCCACCTCCAAAGAGAAGAACGGCTTCTCCCCCTCCCCCTCCTAAACGAAGGGCATCACCATCTCCACCACGAAAGCGTCGGGTCTCCCATTCTCCACCTCCCAAACAAAGAAGCTCCCCAGTCACCAAGAGACATTCGCCTTCATTATCATCAAAGCATAGGAAAGGGTCTTCCCCGAGCCGGTCTACCCGGGAGCCCCGGTCACCACAACCAAACAAAAGGCATTCGCCCTCACCAGGGCCTCGAGCTCCTCAGACCTCCTCAAGTCCTCCACCTGTTCGAAGAGGAGCATCATCATCACCCCAAAGAAGGCAGTCCCCTTCTCCAAGTACTAGGCCCATTAGGAGAGTCTCCAGGACTCCGGAACCCAAAAAGACAAAAAAGGCTGCCTCACCAAGCCCTCAGTCTGTAAGGAGGGTTTCGTCCTCTCGATCTGTCTCAGGATCTCCTGAGCCAGCAGCTAAAAAACCCCCAGCACCTCAATCCCCTGTCCAGTCTCAGTCCCCCTCTACCAACTGGTCACCAGCGGTACCGGTCAAAAAGGCTAAAAGCCCAACACCGAGCCCATCTCCGGCAAGGAACTCAGACCCAGAAGGAGGTGGAAAGAAAAAGAAGAAAAAGAAGGACAAGAAACACAAAAAGGATAAGAAACACAAGAAGCACAAAAAACACAAGAAGGAAAAGGCCATGGCAGCAGCCGCTGCAGCAGCTGTCACTCCCACGGCCCCTGCGGCCCCCACACCACATCAGCACAGGAGGAACCGGAGGCAGAGCCCGAGCCTAAGAAGGAGATGGAGAGTGAGCCCGAAGACAACCTCGACGACTTAGAGAAGCACCTGCGTGAAAAGGCGCTGAGGTCGATGCGGAAGGCTCAAGTGTCCCCACAGTCTTAGGCGGGAATGTGTGTCACGATGTACATTTTATTTGGTTTGTACGCAATTCAATTTCAAAATTGCTAAAATGTGTTTGAGCTTTAGACTATAACATTTGTTGTAATAATTGCTAGGTTGAAGTTCACCATGTAAAAAAAAAGGGGGGGGGCATGGATTTACATTGCAAAAGGTGTCCACAGTGTATTAGTGACCTTCTTTCATTGACAGCTGACATAAATTCATTTAGAGTGAAATATTTTAAGCCAAAAAAAAAATCCTCTTTTTAAAAAAGGGGGTTTCAATATTGTTGGCATTTTTATGGTTTCTTTAAAGGCCCTGGCTATTCCCAGAGGTTTTCCTTTCTTGTCATTTTTTTTCTTTATTTTTTTCTCATTTGAGTCTTAGCACCCATTTAAGTTATGATGCTTTCAACCTTGTATGGTTTGCAAGCTTGCCCAGAAATAAGACCACTGTTGAACTACCACAAAGTATAAATGAATATTTTAATGCCACAATCTTTCCTGTTGCCTGTGGAGTCTCTGCTGAAATGAATCAGGATTCGAGCTCTAGGACGAGATGGAAAATGAAAGCATGTTGTTTGCCAGGACACTGTGGGTTTATATTGATGTGTAACAAGTTGATTTGGAACACTGGAATTCATTCTATTCTGTTGTGTTTTTTTGTAAAGGCAATTAACTAGTCCCAGGAAGGATCCTTCAGTTATATAAAAGTTTGTTTTATGAAAATAAATAAATAAATAAATACTTCCAGTTGGTTAAAATCAGGTATACTAGATAATAGGTTTACTGGTATTTTAGTCTAGCTTCACTTGAAATGACTACAAATTTTAAATAAAACCAACTTGCGTTGACTTTATTTATGCTCACTTACTAACATTAAAAAAAAGGAAGAAAAATAAACATTTTAAATCTTATCTGTAGTCTTAATTTCTGTTTGAATTGTTTATCCCACAAATCTTTGAGCACTTTCCTATTGGCCTTTGCCAATCTGGGTAATTGATTAGTAGCTGAGTCTCTGATTCTAAGCACTAACAGTGCCCACATATTGACACCAACCAGTTTGCTAAGCCTCTCTCCCAGTGAAATGACACCATAAGAAGTCCAACTTAAAAAGCAAGTGAAATCTTCATGACCTTGGATTTGGGGATAGGATTTAATATCCAGAATTCACAACTCAACAGCAACAACAATAAAGACTCAACATAAGAATTGGTAAAGGACACTTCTACAAAAAAGATGTAAAAATATCTGATGAGCATATGAAAGAATACTCAAAATTATTAGTCATTAGGGAAATGCAAACCCAAAGCACAATAAGATACCACTTCCTACCTCGTAGATTGGCTAAAATAAATAACAGAAAATAAGAAGTGAGATGAGGATGTGTAGAAATTGGAACTCTTCTACATTTGCTGGTAGGAATGTAAAATAGTGCAACTATTTTGGTAACAGTTTGGCAGTTCCTTGGGAAGTTAAACATAGTATTACCATATGATCCAACAATATCGCTGCTAGGTGTCTTCTCAAAAGCACTGAGAACAGAGACTCAAACTGATAATTGTACATGAATGTTCATAGCAGCGTTATTCACAATAGCCAAAAGGTAGAAATAATACAAAGGTCTTTTTTTTTTAATTTTTTTTTTTAATTTATTTATGATAGTCACATAGAATGAGAGAGAGAGAGGCAGAGACACAGACAGAGGGAGAAGCAGGCTCCATGCACCGGGAGCCCGATGTGGGATTCGATCCCGGGTCTCCAGGATCACGCCCTGGGCCAAAGGCAGGCGCTAAACCGCTGCGCCACCCAGGGATCCCTACAAAGGTCTTTTAATGGATGAATGGGTAAATAAAATAAAACGGAATAAAGTTCATAGGCATACTACAACATGGATGACCTTTGAAAACATCATGCTAAGTGAAATAAGCCAAATAAAAAAGGGCAAATATTGTATAACGTTTTTCGAAGTATCTAGAATAGGTAAGTTTATAGAGAACAGAAAGTACCTTAGGAGTGGGGGCAGGGTAGGGAGTTACTAGAAAAAAAAGACATGGGGGAGGAGGACCAATGGAAATATAGAGCTGACACAAGGATGTTGTGAAGTCCTATACCATGGTTTTTTTTTTAAAAAAAAAAAAAAGTATTTTATTTATTCATGAGAGACACGGAGAGAGAGGCAGAGGGAGAAGCAGGCTCACTGCAGGGAGACGGATGTAGGACTCCTGAGACTCCGGGATCAGTCATGAGCCAAACGCAGATGCTCAACCACTGAGCTACCCAGGCGTCCCAGGGAATATTTCTTGAATTGATGATAATTCTACTAAGAATGGCTGCCTAATTCATTGTTTTCTATGTCCCTTGACATAGGGGAGAGTCCTTTCTATTATCTTCCTTGGTTGTATCTGAAGTAGTCTTTAGAGTATGCACTCTTTGGAAGCTGAGCAGTGTTTTGAATTCATTTCTTTTCTATAGAAGGCTGGAGGCCAAAGAGGTATTTTTTTTTTTTTTATTTCTTGAAGATTTATTTAGGGATGCCTGGGTGGCTCAGTGGTTGAGTATCTGCCTTCAGCCCAGGGCGTGATCCCGGAGTCCTGGGATCGAGTCCCACATCAGCCTTCCTGCATGGAGCCTGCTTCTCTCTCTATGTCTCTGCCTTTCTGTGTATCTCATGAATAAATAAATAAAATCTTCTAAAGACAAAAAAAGATAATGACAGAGATATGCTTAATTTGATCCTTGCCTACAGGCCTAGTTCTAATGGCTTTATTTTCTTTACAAGCCTACTCAATTTTACAGTTTACCAACTGGGGATGAAAGACATTTACCACTCTCAACAAAGCAAGTTCTGGAATGTCTATGTTCTCTTTATTCCTTTCTATTTCTGCTTATACACTAATAAATTATTTTTTGAGTACTTCTTTTTCAGTAAAGTATCTTGTCAAGCACAGTCAACACTCACCAATATATGCTATCAACATCTAGAGCTATAAGCGTCCTAGGTTCATTATTTACCTATCAAGTTATTGTAGATGACAGTTTTTTTTTTGTAGATGACAGTTTTATCAAATATTCCAGTACATAGCAAAGATTGTCGTTCCTCTAGTTTCTAAAATAAGCTTATTTCACCTCTAAGGCAATGCCGCAAAAGTCTGGATGTTGTTAACACGCATACTACACTCCATCTCAGGGCATTAATATCTGTATCAATCAATGTATGCTAGGTTTTGTTGAAATAGTAATAATATATATAATCTTAATATAACAACAAAGATTTATTTCATGTTTATGCTCTGCATCTATTGCAGATTGCTGGGGTGTTCACTTCATATCTACTCATTCTAAGATGCAGACAGATATGCCAGACTCAAAAGCTGAGAGAAAGAAAGTTTGGAAGGTCATAAATTGGCAATTCAGGGCTAGGGTTCTGAATGACACATATAATATGCTTATAACTGATTGACCGGGTTAGTCACGTAGTCCCACAAGAGAGCCAGGACATGCAACCTGCCATGTACCCTGAAGATCAAGAGCAGGAAATACTTGGGGAACAGCAAATACATAAACAATCCAGCAATGGCATGATCCACCTGCATATGAATTATATAATCAATGTACTCAGGGACTGCTGAATAGAGGCCCAACTTCACTAGAGTTGCAATTTCCCACCCATTTCCAGACTTAAGAGGCCCCGATCAGCCTTTTTTTTTTTTTTTCCGATCAGCTTTTATAGCATAATCGCAAGTATATACTATGCACCTTTCCTCCACAAAGGAATCTGGTGATTTTGTCAGGTAACTCTGCCAGGTAAAGGAAATCCTAAAACTTCTATTTATAATTGACCCTGACCCTGAGACAAAACCAGTTCTCTGATGGCCAGACCACTAGATTTTCTACCAATCAAGAACTTAGGGGTATCAGGTCATAACTGAAGCTTTCACCAGAGTCAGTAAGCTTTATGGGGCAGCGATCCAGGGTAATTTCCCCAGTTTTATAATGTACAGGTAGGGCAGATGGCCTTACTTCCATGAAACTATGTCCTGACCCACTGACTCAAAGATTAAGTCTATTATAATAGGAAAAGCCAAGCAGAAGCCAGTGGAGGACCCTTCTTGGCTAAAGGAAGAAATGGAAAGTAAATTCATTTCAAACCTGTCTCACAGATGTTCTATAAAGTATTAAACTCTAGGGGCCCCTGGGTGGCTAAATCGGTTAGGTGGCTGCCTTCAGCTCATCTTGGGGTCCTGGGATCAAGCCTTACAGTGGGCTCTTTGCTTAGTGGGAAGTCTGCTTCTACCTTCTCCCTCTGCTTCTCCCCTGTCTTGTACTCTCTCTCTCAAATAAATAATTTTTTTTAAAAAAGTATTAAACTCTGGAGATCCATCTCAAAGCAATAGGATCACATGTCCATTGAACTATTAATAACATGGACATGACCTCCCTCAGCTCCTCTTTGAGATAAATGATGGACAAGTATATAATCTTCAGCTACCTTCTCCAGCTTTCTTTACATATAGGTTCTTTGGCCTGAAGAATCAAGAACATGCCAGATTCAACTAATTTGGCAACTTGATAGAATGAACTAGTTTTTTCTGTTTGTGAGCTTTAATTTCAATTCAATACTTTAAGTTTTTTTTAAGATTTTTATTTATTCAAATAAATAATTTCATTTTGTTTATTCATTTTTGTTATTTATTTATCTTTCACGCACAGAGAGAGGCAGAGACACAGGCAGAGGGAGAAGTAGGCTCCATGCAGGAAGCCCAATGCGGGACTTGATCTTGGATCCCGGACTCACACCCTGAGCTGAAGGCAGATGCTCAACCGCTGAGCCACCCAGGTGTCCCCTCAATTCAATAATTTTAAGTGCTATAATAGCATAGGAAAAAAGTAGAAGTGACCCCTGGAAACTTGAGGTCTATCTCTAAGCACTGAAATGTTTTCTATTTTAACTGTTATGGACAGATGGCCTTTAAAAATATGTATCACCATAATCTTTGTTCTTTCTTATTTTGCTCTTTACTTTTTTCTCATTGAGTCTTAGGCCATTGGGGCACCTTGCTGGCTCAGTGGGAAAGGCACAGGACTGTTGATCTTACCGTCATGAGTTTGAGCCCTGCAGTGCGTGTAGAAAATCACTAA